TGGGAGTGGGCGATAGACCAATCTCCATGTGATGCCTCCTGGGCAACGTATACTCATACGGCAAAAAGCTCTATTAACTGGCAGTTGACTTCCGACTTCAAACTACCTGGAGACGACAATCAGCTGTCCTAAGGCAAGCCATCTTACAAGCTAAATGCACTTCCTTCGACAAGTTCGTCTCAAATATCAACTATCAAAGTGATAGCCAACGCACTTTCAAATTTCTGAGAAACCTGCAAAACAACAGAGAAAGACCCAAGAAAGAACCAATACGCTTAAACAGCAAATTGCTTACCACCGACAACGAAATAGCTAACTGCTTTGCGAGGCTCTATTCCCACAAGCAAAAGAAAACCCTTTTGTCAGAAAATCTTCAAGAGATTTAAAGATACAAGTAAGACAGTTTGATGAAATTAAGGAAGACGAAACACCAAATAATGTACTTACTGAACCATTCCGACCTTGCGAACTTAATGCTGCGATAAAACAGCTAAAGTGCAAAAAGTCTCCTGGCGAAGACGGTATTCATCCAGAATTTCTAATTGGAATGGGACCAAAAACCAAGGAAACCATGTTGAAGCTTTTCACCAAAATCTGGGAGACAAGTCTCGTACCTAACCAATGAAAGTTGCCATAGTAATACCAGTACTGGGCAAATACCCTAGCAACTTTGACAACTATAGGCCTGTCTTCCCACAAGCGTGCTGGCGTGCTGGATAAACTTATGGAAAGAATGGTTAACAAGAGGCTCACCTATAGACCTTTCTCCCTCACAAGCCTGCTGGCTTAATCTATGAAAAGACTGGTTTACAGGAGGCTGACCTGGTTTCTTGAGACCAACAATATTCTTAGGAGTGAACAAGCAGGATTAATATTCTTAGGAGTGAACAAGTGTTTTAGGCCACAAAGATCAACGAACCAACAAGTAGCCACATTCCTTGAGACCAACAATATTATTATCAATGAACAAGCAGTTTTTAGGTCAAGGATACGTGTGGGGTGCTGGGGAGGCCAAAAGTACAGTTGGAGACCAAGCAACCCACCATTCTTGCACTCTCAAGTGCAGGTTTTAGGTCACAAAGATCAACGAACCAACAAGTAGACACTTTCTTGTTTTAGGCCACAAAGATCAACGAACCAACAAGTAGCCACATTCCTTGAGACCAACAATATTATTATCAATGAACAAGCAGTTTTTAGGTCAGGTCAACAGGATACGTGTGGGGTGCTGGGGAGGCCAAAAGTACAGTTGGAGACCAAGCAACCCACCATTCTTGCACTCTCACTAGCCACTTTCTCCCAACACATGAAAGATGCCCTTGATGCAAGAAATAACCTTACGGCTGATTTCGTCGATTTCCAATCAGCATTTGACTTAGTATGGAAAGAGANCAATGAACCCATTAGCAGACATTGATGTAGTGTGTCGCACCCAACTGCTCGACTTCTTCAGGAAATCAAACACTCCTTCAGAGCAAATGCGCTCACTGGCCCTTGAGACAATCAATGTCAACTATCCTGCAGATCAATGGCTCCAAGTCTTCACTGATGGGTCATACATAGAAAACAAGCAAACGTTGGTTCAGGTGTCTATTCTGAACTCTTCTCATTCTACGCAGCAGCGGGTCACAATAGATCCGCTTTTGAAGGAGAAATAGAGGCTATTAGGAAAGCACTATGCCAATTATGTTGCCTGGATACGAAATTCACCAAAGCGGTGATACTTTCGGACTCACAGTCAGCAATAAACTCAATTGGAAACAGAGAGACACCCAAAATAGCAGAGATAAAAGAAGGTAGAAAACTTTATCAGCTGCTGAGAGAGAAAAACAAAACAGTGGTCCTAGAATGGTCTCCTGGTCACTGTGGCATTAAAGGCAATGAGCTTGCTGACACACTTGCTAAGAAGGGGACGACGATTGTGCAATGCATGGACCGTCCGATGTCTTTCCACATAATGAAGGCCTTAATCAGAAGAGAATTCCAGACCTCAAGGTGCAACGAACTTAAAGCTCGAGCAAAGGAGAAACAGTGGACAGTGGCACTCTCCGACATGCCCGACTGGCCAAGAATCGAAGCCGTTGGTGAGTTCAGACTACGTACCGGACACGATTGCTTGGCAAAACACCTTCACAGATTGGGAGTATACACTCAACCCACATGCCCCCCCCCCATATAACCTACAGGAAGAAATGGAGAAGACCCACTTGATTCGGTGTCCAGCCCTAAAGACAAGGACGGAAAGCCAGAGATACTGGGAAGCAAGAAGACAGCTAATGAATTGCTATTAATTAACTGCTATAAATGTACCCCCCCCCCACTTCTTGGGGGAAGCTGAAGTCAAAGTTTAAGGGCTAATGATAAATATCACAAAGCCTGCCATTTGAAATAAATAAACTTCTGACTTCAAACTACCATGACCCGACTGTATGTCACATTCTACCACTTTTACAGTATTCACCTTACCTTTTTCTCTACCTTTGTGTCTGTCTCTTTTACATCTTTGAAACACTCTTCTGTCCCCCCTCCCCTTCTTGACTTTTATTCACTTTGATGTACCTTCTCCTCTGTGAAGCTTGAAGTCAACTAAAGGGCTATTGATAACTGTCAAAACGTATGCAATTTGACATAAATAAATGTCTAATTTTGGTTTTACCAGATAATATCAGTGTTATTAAGAAAAGTAAATGGATAAGTATGGACTCTAGGAATATTTTGAAAGGGCTTTTTAAGCTTGGAATGATAGGATTTCTTCACCATCTAGCGTCTTTCAGGAAATCTACACTCTAAATATATTCAAGAAGCTGTGATGCTTATGCAATAAAGGGTTTACAGGCCTATTTTTATTCGCTAAATCAGTCAGTGTGTAAGCGTTAATGACCTCATCTACTCATGATTCAATTTATATCTACAAGACAACCTATTTAGCCGACAGGTTCTTAAATTAAGCTGATTGGATGAGACCGCAGTCTATGCTATGGCAAATTCTAATTAACTTATTTCACGATGGACCAAGATAGTCTTTACACCATTCATAATGTTAAGTTGATGCATGTAATAGAGGCCAAACTTTAAGTAAAAATGATTCAAGCGTAGACCTTCCTTAATGGAATTAATTTTTTGTCTGCTTCA